CTCCTCNAACCCCCTCACCACCTCCCTGCCCGTGAATCCACTCACCCCCGCCCCCGCGCGTTGAAAAAAATCACGCGAATTAAATGAATGTAATTATTGCGTGAAAGCGGCGAGCATGGAGCCGGAGGATCTTTGCCTCTTGGGTCGTGACGGAGTCCCCGATCCCGGAATAAAGTTTTATTGGCCCCTCTTATCTTAAATTTTGAGCGCGGAGTGGACCCTGCCCTGCCCGCGAACCTAGCGCCTTCCCGGGACGGGAGTCCTGTCAATGGTCCCATTGTCCCCGCCACTTAACGCTCCATTCCCGCCTAACAGCAATCCGATACCCCGTTTCCCGCGGGTGGACATTGTCAAACCGTCGCGGGATATCACTCCAGCTCCAATATGCCCAGTGCTCCCATCCCGCGTCCGTTAAAAGTTCCGGGATCCGGAACTTTCTTGTTCCGATTTCTCCCACCCCGTGACCGTCAAAATTTCCGGGATTCTTTAAAAATTGTTTCAAAAGTTCCTAGAGAGTTTGGGAAAATGCAAAAGATCCGGAACATTTCGGGAATTTCAAATTTTTCCGGGAAAAATTCAGAAAAATCTCAAAAAGTTCCGGAATTCGGTACTAGTTCCTGGAGGAAGGAGCACTGAACATGGCGGGGGATGAAAAGTAGAGGGCTTTTTTGACCCTTAAATTTGTCCGAAGGGAAATGGTCAGAGCCCAAATCGTTTTAGTCAACAGTCGACTGCAAGTTGAGGAACCAAACCTCTAAATCTGACTTTAAGTTAGGAAACTGTATTCTAAACTCAAGCTGTACGAAAATTGAGCTTTCATTACAGCAGGGTCGAGCCACTTTCAGTTTCTGACCTGTGCGAACCATGAATCAGCGGACGAATAACGAAATCAACATCCTTGCCTCAACTTGCGGCCGATCGCAATCCTGATGACAATATTCCGGCCCAGGACTGTATGCAGTGAAATTATGAAATAGGGCTTTTGCACCCAAGAGATGTAGCTGATTTAGTTGATTCAATGCGGGTGAAATTACTTGAAAGATGCTTATCTTTCAAGTAATTTCAGAGCAGGAGCACAAAAAAAGAACTGATTTTTCGAAGAGAGGCGCAGCGCAGCCGCCAGAAGCAAGTTTCGAAAACAATCGAAAACATGATTTCTGCGACAATTTTTCATGATTTTGTTAGAAATAATTAACCATTGTTCTACATACCATCGTTGATAAGACCAAAGTCTCGCGAGGAGGGTCGCAAAAATTGAAAAATAGTAGAATAGAGTAGAGTTGAGAGAAGTAGAGTAGAGTAGAGACTAGAAATTAGCCTTTGTTTTTACCCTTTCGCGTGTATAAAGTTGCAAAGATACAAACTTAAGTGAAATATAACTGTATTAAAATCAGTAGGTATTTAAAATTTTAAACAATTTCATAAAAACGGTCTAAAAATTACAAAAATGTTGAACAGTGGATCATGCATTTAAAAATAGATAGATCCCTTGCGAAAAATTACAAAATAATATTGAGTTCATTCATTGATTTTGAAGGAGCGCATCTTCATTGCAGCAGATAGAAATAGAAACACAAATTGAAAAAGAAGAGGTATTAACATTTTGAAGGACTCCTTTCTTCTACAAAACCGTTCAACACTCTTATTTTATGCAGTATTAGTTGGTAACAGTAGTAGTAAAAGTTACATATTATTAGTAACAGTTACGCAGTGTGCATCTTCGATGACAATATTAAGAATCATAGTTCATGCCCTGACTCGCGGTTTTCATCATGAGTGAGTACCCTGCGCTGGGAGAGGCGGCTCGAAAATTACGCTCTTTTTCCAATTATATCAAGAAAAACAATAAACTAGGCTCGCTATGGAACTGCAGGGGCCGAATTTTGTTGGCCTTTTCAAATGGAGGTGCAACATCCATCGATGAGTCCAAACCGCAACACTGGCGAATCAAATGCGCTGACTTAAGTGCAGTCGCGACTCGTCTAAAATATATTCAAGCACTGTGGAAGGACCAACGAAATTCGGCCGTCGTGTTCGACAGATTTTTTAAAACAAATCAAAGGTACAAAAATATAATACCAATTTAATTAAGGTTAATAAAGGTAATTTAATAAATTTAATAAACTAAATAAATCAAGGTAATTTAAGGTTTCGGTTGGACTTTACAAGTTGTTAAGAGACGCTTGGAGATCTTCCATGCAATTCGGCATCAGGGTGTATTCTCTCGCGGTTACTTTGATGGTTGCATCGGTTTACAAGTGCCCGCGCTTGTACACAAAGCACAAAGCGTCTTTAAAACTTACGACCGAGGTGCAAATTTCCTCCCCGCAATTTTATTTGCTTTGTGGAAAGGTTTTTTAAAAGGTCGAGTCTAAGGCCAGGTTGGTGTAAACATTATGGTTAACCTATCCCACGGAATGTTGCCAACATGCCGTTACGAAATAACCTCTAAAACAAAATATATGGAAAATATAGAGGCCTGTGATTTTTTTAGGCTTGTGGGCCTGAAGACAAGGTGTGAACTAAAGCACTACACAACATGTATTATGTTCTAAATTCACGCGGAAAATACGGCAAGTCTGGAATTTCACTCTGAAAACAAGATATAAGTGTTTGCAATCAACATGGGTTAAATGACTACTTACAAATGACGCCATTTTTATAATCTGACTTCCGCTTGATTTGTATTTAAAATACTTGCTGCATGGTAAAGTCGTAGAATGGCAATACCTCGTTTAGAAGTTGCTCTCCGAACAACGTTTTCTTCGTTTTCTACTTCAGATTTTGATGAGAAAACTCACAAGGGGTTTTTTTTTGGGGGGGGGACGGGTATTTCATATACCTTTTCTTGTAGCCTATTGCGCTTGATAATAATGGGTTTTAAGTAAGCATTTTCCCGGAGCATTCCACTTGAGGGAAAATTAATACGAACGCTCATTTTTTGTCCCACTGAAAGTAAGGTTCTCATTTTTGACCGTCCACGGAAAAGAGAGTTTATTCCAAGAATATTCGAAGTAAAGTTACTATAATATCAGGGCATAAGTCTACAAAAGAGTTCAGTTCTAAAAAAATTTTGGAAGAAAATTTCTAAACAAATTTACAGCTAAACTAGACTTTACCTATTGGCTAACAAGGTGGAGAAATGGTGCTGGGTCCACACCATTTCTCCACCATGTAACATACAGTTCGAACCATTTTTTAGTTTTTTTTCTATTGGCTAAAAGCTGATATTTAGCTGTTTGAAGATTTCCTTTAAAAATCATAGCTTGGAGATTAAAATGCATTGAAATTCTGATGCAACAATCTTCAGGCTACGCTCCTTTTTCTCGTGGTTGATTTGCATAATTATTTCTCGACTTTATACTAATTCTCTTCAGTTGAAAACGACGCATTATTTTTGCGAGAAGATCACGACCCTGTACCACTCACACGACTTTAAACGGAGCCACCAAGTTTACCATTACAAGGAGGCACGCAGTGAAAATGACTGTGTTACGCAGTAGCAATCCTTGAGAGTTGGCAGCACTGGGTATTCAGCTTAGTTAAATAATCTATGCCGATCGATTCTCGGTGAAGCAGGCTGCCAAACCAAGAATCAAAGCCTCCAAATTTCCTTATTTTTTCTGTTTAGGCTCAAGAAAGTAGGAAAGACTAAGCAATTTGATACAACTCTGTAAGCATCTTTCATAAAAACTAAAGGTCATTCATTTCAAAGGTGGGTACTTTGCATTTCAGCTCCCTTTACGATACCGATTCCATTACGGCAGCTCTTTCAAGCAAAGGGTTTTCCGAGAGAGGTTTACTGTTTTATAAATAATTTAAATTCCCTTCCTGTATCCTTTGCAAAGGAGATGCAAGTTTTGTGGTATTCACCTTCGCGTTTTTTACTTTGTGCGATTACACTTTCAGCACTTTCCTCTCTGTTCAATGCTACAGAGACCACTGTTGCCGCTTCAGGTTGAAAAACTGAATTATCCGTGCATTAGCTTGCATTTTTATTCCCAAATTGCATTATTATGTCGACAGTGAAACTCTCAGGCACAAATTTCGTTTGACGGGTTTTAAAATCTCCACTTTCATTTTCCCTTTTTAAAGGAGAGCAACGCAAGAAACGCAAGGATTTGGAGTGGGTTCCTTAAGCGGGCTGATTGTTGAAATTGATAGACAGTAAGTGATAGACAAACAAAACATGGAGAGTACAGAGCGATCCTATTGACTGAAATGGTTGATTCCTGTAGAATAAAGGAGAAAATGATGGACTAACTATAGGGTCCCTCGTTGGTTGCCCTTAGTTAATCTAATATCTACCCTTATTGTCTATTGCAACCGCTCGCTCCCACCAATAGGATCTCTTCATGCCCATTTTGACTGCTTTATCTATAGCTTTGTCTATCAATTTTAAAAATCATCCCATAGGTAGGCACCGTAAACAGCATCCAGCCAGAGGGTCGATAAATTACATACAAAAAAAGATGGAGAAAAGATGTCAGCTTCCGGGAAATTTCTACCTCGGCAGAGTCTAATGGCGGTTGGGAGCCATAAAGTGCCCTAGCGTATTATAGTAGCGACTATTACAAGCACAAATTAACATCATTCCTTGAACTTTTTACAGAATTTTCTTCGCACGGAGGAGAAAAATCAAAGAAATGTTTAAACATTGACGTTGAGTACAGTATGGGGATAGCCGAAGTTATTTCCTTTGTATTCTATCCATGCGGCAACTATGGTAAAGAAAAACCTTCCTCGGCAAAGAGGTAAGAACGGAGGAAAGCAGCTTAGCCACGCAGCCTTTCAACCTCAAAAATCAACGCGATCTTCGCCAGAGTGCGCTTTTCCAAAATCATAACGACAACGCNGGGGGGGGGGGGGCCGCATTCAAATACGCTGTCTCCGAAACAGGAACTCGGTCCCCATTTCGTAGCCGAAGCCGCTCGAAGTTGAGGGCGGAGGGGGATGGAAAAAGATTAAGCAGCAACAAGTGCTATTTAAAAGAGACTCACCGGTTCCGTGGTCGGTGTGCAGATGGCGCTGCTGTTGCGTCGGCAAATTGAGTTCCTGTCAACAGAAATTGCAAAGCGAGTTAGTAGCGTAGGTGGCAGAGCTCATCGCTCGAATATTGATTCGAGGTGGCTTCGGTTGCTTTTGTTCGGTTCGAGAAACTCACGGAAGGAGGCCAAGATATTCAACTTGCAGATGCAACATTCATCGGATTGGAAAGTATTAAACGGAGAAGTAACGAGAATGAAGAGCAAGGAGCATTAATAGACTCGTTTAGAGAAGCGGAAATTTTCTGAAGTATTTGTTCCTGCCCGACAGGAGACGTCTGAAAATTATAGATACAAGGAGGAAAACAGGGCCAAGACTGTGTTACGGGGCGATATGATGGGAAGGAAAAGGTTAAAATTTAGCGACTGGCCGGTGCAAAACGGATCGAGTCGATGGGAGAGGTTGAACGAAATTTGGAAACCTTGAAAGTTCATCATTCCGTTCATACAAAAATTCAAGGTTCTAAAAGTGGCTCCATTGGTTTCCTCATGAAATTATCTACTAGAAGCACTCCTTAAAATTTGAAATATGACAATTTAAACATCAAAATTTGCAGTTTTAGTTAACAATTTTATGTCCGACCTCTTTTATTGACTCGATCCACTGTGCGGTGCTTGAAAAAACGAACATCGTTACTGAAAGTATCTTATTTTGAGGAACGTTAATGAGTTACGGTTATGAAGCGTGGACGCAGCACTATTTTACCATTATGTTACTCAAAGTTCGAGCCCCATTTTTAGCTTCTTTAATCTTGGTTGTTCTTAAATTTGGTTTAGATGTGTAAATTCGTTTCTTGATTAAGTTCACAAAGCATAAAAATTTAATTGACAGAACCCTCTGATTTTTTTTTAAAAAAAAATTCCATACTTAATAACTAAACTAAGTAACTAATACGTGCTTCAGAAATTAAAGGAACAATACTCGCAGAACAGATAAAAGCATGGTATTTGTATTTGCATTCTTGTATTTTAGCCTTGTTTACCCAATTTATTGTATTTGTTTTATTACGCGTCGGAGTGAAAGATCCCAGTCCCAAATCCCATTTCTGCCAGGTATTCACTAACAGCGTTGACGATACGACAGCGTCGAAAATGTTCAGGCCTGCGAGGCCTTTCAATTTACCGTTGAACTTGTTTAATCAATTAGGCATTATACTGCCGTGCTGAGGTAAAACGCCGTATCAACATTCGAGAGTTGTCAAATTTCCTTCGATAAAATGTTTATTTTTGAGGGAAGATATGAATATTTTTCCTTGGATTTTCAGGGACTTCAGGTGATATTCCGAACAAAATTATCTGAGAAATTGGAAGGAAAATATGCATGAGTTTACCGGGAAATTCGTGTTTTATCAAAGGAACTTTGGCAAGGCCGGAAGGTTCATACGACATTTTTCCTTAGCACGGCATTATAGTCGTAATTGGTCGCAATTACATGGCCATCGCACGTCGGTAATCGGAAAAGCGCGATGATTCCGGGAACCCGGACGAGGGACGACGCGGAACTAGGCGGCTGTGCTAAGGAAAAACGCCGTATGAACCTTCAGGCGTTGCCAAATTTCCCTTGATAAAAACATGGATTTCCTGGTAAACTTAGGAATATTTTCCTACCAACAATTCAGATAATTTTGTTCGCAATTTCACCGAAAGTTTCTGAAAATTTCAAGGAAAAATATTTGTAACATGCATTCCTCAAAATATGTATTTTATCGGAGGAAATTTGACAACTCTCGAATGTTCATACGGCGTTCTTCCTTAGAACGGCAGTAGGGTCACGGGCTTTAAAAACAAATGCAAGCCCATTTCCAGTATGGTAAGATTCACACGCCGTTTCCCGGAAACCTGATCGACCCTGGTCCCCCTGAAGCGACTGCCGGCGATCCAATTAGATTCCCGCGTCGAGGTGTTGCAAAATCAAAAAGGTTCTACAAAAGCGTCTTTCTAATTTCCAAATTCACCNTTTCAAAATGCGTCAGTGTTTTAGACTCGGGAGGAGATCCTCTCTCAACTTTGAAAATATTTCGAAGATCAGGCCAAGGTTGAAACGGACAATTTGGAATGAGGTCCTTTCTTCCTTGCTCTAGTCACAAGAACAAGAGGCAAGTGAGAATGGGAATCGATGCGCGATATGTCATTACGAATCTTTGTTTACATTCCAAAGAGCCAAAAACGTGAATTCTCACGGTGAATGAGTGAAAATGTCTGTGTGTGTTTCATGTGCGTCTGTGTTAGTGACTACGCGCTCACAAAGGAACCAGTGCGTCTTCATGAGAGCGTTATCAGGCAACGCGCCGCGCCGCGCCGTCGCTAAATAGTCACCAGAGACTCTGCGTGAAACTAAATTCGGCGATAGTACCATTAAATTAAGACGGTGTCAATGAAATTATTTCCTCTTCTTGGTTTCAGGACATTTTTTCAACGATTTTTTGTCCGCGCACCTTTTTTGTCCAGTAGTTTACGCCCACACGTAAAATAAGCAACGGTGACTTGGTCCAAGCGTTATATTTTAGTCGGTACATTTGTAAAATTATATTGACAATATGGAAATGAGAAATTGAGAGAGAAGGAGGTGTTATTATGGTTGCTCATGCATGCTGAATGAAATGTTATTACTTTCTCCTTGTGAATCATCTTCTTAAATTGTCATCGGTGAATATTTGGTTTTATTTCTATCCTTAAAATATTGAATGTACAATATACTTTATAAATGTAACCGTACTTTTTTTTATTTTTTAATTTTTTCTTTACGAAATTATTACTTCATTTTGAAAACATTTATATTTTTAAAACGTGACAAATATTTGTAAAACCCTTTCCAAGCGACATTAATCTCAATAAGCCGCAGTTGTGTCGACAGAAACTAAAAAAATGAATAAAAGAGGGGAAAAAACCAAAAAGCACGCAATATTTAGTTTTAACCTATTTGTACATCGATCTTTTAGAGTCAAATACGTCAAATTTTGAGAGTTTGGTTGCGCGTACTTCTCGCTGCAGCACAAATAAATTTGACACGGAACCACCAATATTTAAAAAACACACATTATATTATTATTCGCCTTTGATAAATTGAAACATATTTTTTTTCCATAAATTTAAATGAGAATAATCAATGCAGAGAATGCAAAAATTTCAAAATCATGAGTTAAAAAACGCTGACTATGCGAGTATAAATATTAAAGCCTAACAGAGCGGAGCGGCGGCGCGCTGCTAGCACGAGAGGCTCACAGGCGCCTACAAACCTAAGTGGATACTTCACGCATTGCACAATTGGCGCCTACAAACCTAAGTGGATACTTTACGCATTGCACAATGCTTGAAGTATCCACTTAGGTTTGAAGGCGCCAATGCGCGTTCCGCGCTGACCGGCCGTCCGCCGTGCGGCGTCGCATGAAGCAACAATTTCACAACAGAAGTGTTGCACAGTATTATACGAAATTAAATGTATTAAGAATGACAGTCATCCTTTAAAAGTACACATCTTTCCTCGCAAAATAAATCAAGATACTTATCGTACACTGGAAAAATCTAAGAGCCTTTAGCTGAGGTAAATATAGAGGTTTATCCGGTTCAGGTATAACAAGGTGGGAAAATCTTGAAAGATAATTAAGTCCTGTTACACCAAAGACGTGTAGAGAGTTTTAGTAAATTTTGTCTCATGGAATTAACGCTCCCCCATTTTTACCAAAACTCTCAACTTTATATTATTCTCCGTCGGACCAAACAGACAAAACAAAAAAACAAGCAAACCCTCACTCTTCAAAGACATTTTACATTTTCATCCAAAAACGTTGTGAGCAATTGCCGTTTGTATTTACAAGTGGGCAAATTAACTTTGGGTTTCAACTGGCATGAGGACCAAAACTCCCGTGCAGAAAAAACGCGTGGACGTAAATTGCTGAAAAAAACGGGTGCGCGGACAAAAAATCGTTGACGAAATGTCCTATAACCCTTACCTTTCTCGCAGCACAGAAACACTAAGAGTTAGGCTAGCAAAAACTGAGCAACCTGAAATTTTTTTAAAAAAGAATTCAATTTGATTGATCTTTACTTTTATCGATATAAAGTCTAATGAGAGCCTTTTACGCCGCAAAGGCACATTCGAGGTGCCTTTGCGACCAACTACATCATTATTCTTACTCGCAATGAAGACAAAGAAAACGCTTTGGATAGGCAGTTCTGGAGCTCTTAGGTAGTTATTATCCCTAATCGACTGTTTTTATGCGAATTTACCACGGGTTCATAAATTACGGAACCCTTCAGAAGGGACAAGAAGAGTGTCACGCTCATGTTTTTCAAGTGTCCATCCTCAATGGCATAGTGTTACTTATTCGTAGCAAAATATTTTTTGGGTTTTTCATAAATTGAACTATTTGTCTGTGGCACAATCTTGCAAATGTTTAATAAGGCTTTCATTTTTGAAAAAAAAAAGATACTTAAAAATTTGAATTGTTGAGGAGGGTTTTCACTCTAATGCTTTTATGAAAGTTGCAGCGTAGATTAATGTCCCCCGGAATCCGAAACCCAAAATTAAATCATCGCATAGAGGGTTAATGATAGGGACCACATCACGACAGCGTTACGAGGGGAGGGGGTTTCAAAAATGTCGAAAAAGCGCGCCACGTAATTTATGAACGATCCTGGAACAATTAAAAATGGACATATGTTTGCCGAACGGAACTATGTGTATCATGACATGAGCCCTGACAGCCTGACACCCATAAGAATATATGCACGTCTTACAATAGTTCCGTTTGACAGAAATACGTCCAAATATGGATACAAATGAAGGCGCTCTGGAGAGATTACCATACCACCTTGGAAGTTAATTGAAGTTATTTTACCGGAAAACGCATTAGAACTATGTATTTTAGCATTGATGTTCATGAGGATGAGGCAGAAATAGTGGTTCCTCATCGCAAAATGAATACTTTTTGTTGCAAAAATGAGGACCTTGAGGAAACTTCAAGGACGGTCAATCTCGAGCTACACAGAGAAAAAAACTTCGTGCGTGGG